TACAGCTTATTGTAAAGTCTTCTCTGTGCTCTAATTTTCCTTTAAAAAACATGCTCATGGAAGTTTGTTAAGATTACAATGACCTTAACAGCACTTAAGACAATGTTTAATTGTGCAATTTAAAGCAACTGAAATCCTGGTTCCCAGTTAACTCTGTGCTGCTTGCCTTAACTTTTGCTACCCTCCACCACCCTACTTGTTTACATGCTGGCCAGAAACAAGGGCCCAGAAGACATTTGTGTCCTGGTCAGCATATATGACACCCCACACACCTTATCTTCTCTTAAATGCAGAACTAACTGGCATCTACCTGACTGGGCATCAGGATAAATTAAGGCACTCCTAGGGGAGTAATTTATCTGACTGGCCTTTTTATGGTGCATGTGGCAGTAGAGGGCTGGAGACTACTTGAACAGTGTCTAGCTCTAGGCAGTACATGATCAAGACAAGCTTTTGGACTTTTGGTGCACCTTGTGGTTTCCCAGTGGTGTCTGAGGCCAGGGATGTGGAGGGTGATATATGACAGCAATATGGATTTTCCAAAGCCCACACACACACCCGTGCCCTCTGACCACTATAAGAAAGGTTTTTCAGACAAGGAGAGTACTTCAGGCAGTGTAGAAATTTGGCCAATGTAGATGAGTCATGAAGATTACATTTTTCTTTTTCTTTTCAACAGCAGTGTAGTGGAGGATGATGGCACACACTGTCATCTTGGCATTACAGTATGGGTGAATGTTTCTCAGGTTTTATAGGGGTAAGATCTGGATCTGGATGAAGAGCATGGTGAGATGTCATGGTCAGACTGTCAGAGGTGCTTCTCCTCTATTACAGGGCAAGAGCTTCAGCTCTTTCTGTCCATTGAAACAAATATGTTCCCTTTTCCCTCTTTTTCTTTAATTGAAATCAGGAATGAGTTGTGAGTCCTCTCCCTTCAATTGCTTTCACCCACTCCTACCAACATCTTCCTGACCTGGAAGCAAACCACTGCCCCTGCTTGGGAAACGATCAGGACCTTCACCAGGGAGGGTGAGTGTCCAGCCTAGGGGTGGGCCAGAGGAAGGAGTCACTGGGTAGCAGCAAGTTCAGAGAAGACCATCCTAAGATGTCTCATCTCCTTTACACCCTGCTCTGCCCATGCAGGAGGAGCTCTCTGAAGAGTGATCTTTTGTGAAAAATCCCTGAAAAGTCCCTGAACTGGGAGTACTCTTCCCTAGATGCAAGGTGGAGCTCAGCTCCTGGCTGGCTGTGGGGAGGCAGAGCTGCCTCTCTCTGAACAAGTCTTCTCATCCCACCTCATCATCATAACATGCTACTCTCGTTTCTTTCTAAAGAAAGACCTGCTTCAGCCCCTGAACTCTAATGCTAATTTTCTTCAAATGTTCTTAGCTAGACTCTGGATGAATTTACTCAAACAGTTTCCAGAGTCCAGACAGACCTTATGTTCATGTTTCAGACGGCACTTCCTTGCCTGGAGGCCACAAATCTAGCAGACCTGATTTCTCAGATCAGAGTAGTGCTAAGAAAAATCTTTTGGTGTTCTCCAGATGTTTCATAGTTGAAAGCTCAGCCATGTTTTAAGTCAGATAACTGCAAAAACATGCACTGTGTCTCACCATAACTATAAAGCAGCCACACTTCATTTTTCTGAAGACAAATCTGGATGATGCTTGTCCTTTCCCCTGCAATAACGATCATCTCAATTTTATCTGGTCAATTTGAAACACCATGTGTGTTCTCCTAGATGATGTGACCTAATCTGTCAGCCAAAGACAAAACTGGCTTCTTGAAAGCACCTTTTAATATTCATAGCCTTAGGAGATCTCTTTTCATTGAAGGTGATGCTGGTTAGGGCCTTGGTGTTTATAAAAAGAAAAGTTCTCAAACCCCACACAAAATTTTCCTTGTAGTTGATTATATTCCTCCTCTTGTTCTCTTTTTTATTCACCAAATACTTAGTTCGTGCTTATGCTAAAGTGCAACCACCTGGGTTGTCACGAGGTCCCTTATTCCACTGTACAAAGTTTGTCACAAAATAAGAAAAGAGTTAACATCTCTATGATGGAACTGAAAAAGAACAAATGTGGTGGTAAGATCCCATAATTCTGCTATGGGGTTTGAATAATCTTGATTTGTTTAGTTTATGATATTATGTTTCTCAGGTCACTTCTCCTAGCGCATTTCTTGAATTAGTTGATGCTTTTGCAATGATCATCAGTGAAGTATTTATTATCACTGTTAATATTCATTGTATGTCTACTTTGCCAGTTGTGTGATGTAGAGATCTCCATGCCAGACTGCTTCTGGCATTCTTTTCTCAGATGGGCGGCTGCTAATATCTGCATGCAGCATTGCAGCTTACAGTATAGCTATACTTGAACAGGACAATTTATATTGTCAGAGATCCCTGTAGAATAAAAGGTTAGAAGTGTGCTGTCTTTGAAAAGAAATATGAGATTCTGGAGCAAAGCTTGGTGGTCAGAGATTAAATCATTGCAAGTTCTGGCTGCAGAAAAAGGAACCTTGAGTACCAATAGCTTGGACTTGCAAGCTAGTAATCCTACAGTGAGGTATGTGGGCCCTGGAGTTGAAACATTGCTGCATTACTTTCAAAGCATGTGGAAGCTTGCTGCTGTGCAAGTACATGCTTTTTCTTCTGGAGCTGTGTTGAAGGTCCTGTCTCGTTCAGGTCAGCTAGCTCTAGTGCCCCAACCAGCACCTCCCAGCACTCTTCAGCTTAAATAGGTCCCAAAGCTCAGGCAACATAAATCAAGGACCTCTGCAAATCAGGTTTGTCTGTGCTGAACTGGATCTGCTGGCATGGTGAGCTGCTCTGCCACCAGCTCTGAGGGTGGGTAACATAGCTCTTCTGTGCCCTTCACTGTGATTGTGGGCTAAAGCAGAGCTTCCCTGCCCAGCACTCTGAATGTGCTTCTGCAGGAACAGAACCTGCTTTCTACTGCTGATTCCTGCAGGGAGAGGAGAGTAAAAACAACTGCCCTCTAGGGAGAAAGACCTCTTGACCTGGCTTCTGTCTGGGACCCTGCTGAAGGTTGCCTACAGAGCACTCTGCTCATTTCTGAGACTTCCCTACACGCCACCCCTTAAGAGGCAATGGTGATGGCATGGCAGCTTATAGGGTGTGCTAGCGGGGTGAGGGGGCAACACAGGAAGAAAATTAATGGCTGCAGTGGAAAAGGGAAGCAGCATGCTTGGAAAAGCAGGAGAAGGCAGTCTGTTTAGTTCAAGTCTTGGGGCAGAGGATTTTCTCCTATTTCAGACAAAAGTCTCCATTGCTGTTTGTGATTTGCTTTTCTGTAGTGAATCCCACCAAAAGGTGAGAAAAGACTAAGAAGGAATCAAGCATAATCTGGTATGATCTGCACAGTAGTGAAAGAGAAGACACTCTGCCTGGCTCTGCTGTCACATGGATATGAATACATCTTACTTCCTGTCTTCCTCTTTTCCGATTTCTTGGTACAGCATCTCTGCCTCTCTTCATGTGCCTCTGCAGCCCAGGCAGCTGCTGGATCCAAACCCACACAGGAGAGCAGATGCTCTTTTTCCAGTAAGACTGTGAAAGAGATTGAAAATAGTGGGAGCCTAGCTTCCACAGGATGTGGACTGGACAGCTTAGACTAATTATGTTTTTGTTGATCCCTTAGAAGACTTAGGTTTTTAAAGGTCTCAAACTTCCCCTTGCCGCTGACTATGACTAGTCAGCCTGGAAAGCTGTGTGTGGTTGACAGGTCATTGGGAAAAGTACCTAGGAGGATGTGAGATGCTTTCTAACATTTTCTACATCAGGCCTGCAGTGTGCTTTGCAGGGAGGTTGATGTGGAGCCGTGCTGCAGCCCTGGGAGGTGGTGGTCCTGGAAACAGCATTCTGCCCTGAGTGCCCACAGAATGAGTCTGACGAATGAATTTTGTACTGTGCTGGACTTCAGGAAGCAAGCAGTGTGCAGGTAAATCTCAAAGGGCAATTTAGCAGGACAGGTTGCAATTACACTTAGAGGCATGTGGTCAGGAAGAAAGTAGGGCAAAACATTATTTAGAAGCCCTGATGACATTTTCCATACTGTAATGCAAATACTCTAATCCCCTCATCAAGTGCCTTTGGAAGCACCCACATTTTCTATCTAGGCCTGTCATCAGGTGCCTTGGAACCACCTTTGTTTTCTAAACATTTGTTTTTCCTGTAAGTTTTCTCAGTACCTCCTCCTGCTCTCACAAACCTTAAAGCCGTAGTTGCTCAGCAGCTGCACTGTGCCTAAATGTCACTTGGTTTCACAAGCTGCATGCTCTGTTGTTTAAGCTGCCCGCAGGGCTGGATTCAGTGAGCTTTTTACCGCTACAGCTTTAGCAGTGCCCTGTAATGTGGAATTGTACCATCGTTGCCTCTCCACTGCCATGCTTGTCCTCCTGCAGGGCTTGAAAGGCCTCGAGGCTGTGGCGCTGGCCCAGGTGCCAGCCCTTGTGCCACTGTGTGACTGTTGCGCGTGGCAGCGATGGGAGCCTCCGGCTACTTGGGCAGCTCCAGTGTCAGCCCAGAGCCTTGCTCCCGTCAACCACCACAGCTTCAGTGGCAGATGGGCTCATCTCCATGGAGTGGGTGCCTAGATCCCGTGTGCCATGGGCCGCCACGGTGTATTCGCTGGCCGCCTGCCTTACGGGCATGACTGTGGCAGCACAGACACGAGTCCCACCGGGGCAGCGGTGCAGGAGGGCAGGCTGGTGCGCTGCCCGCGTCCCAGCAGCCATCTCCCGGGCTGGGCCCGTGTCACCCGCTCCCCGCCAGGGGGGCCCTGCCGCTCCGTCCCCGCCGCAGCTGCGGCGCCGAGCGCAGCCCCTTCGGCAGCCGGGCCCCGCTGCCCGCGCCGGCCCGGCCGGGAGGAGGAGGAGCAGCAGGAGGCGCGGAGCCCTCCGCCCCCTGCGGCGGAGCGGGCGAGGCGTTAGGACCCGGCGGCGGCGGCTGGGCGGTGCGGGGCTGGGGCCGGAGCGGTGAGGGGCGGGGGAGCCGCGCCGCCGCCTCCTGCTCTCCTCTTCTTCCTCCCGCAGCCGCCCCTGCCCGTCGAGGCAGCGCTCCCAGGCTCCCCCGGGGCGCTCGGCATGAGGAGGATCAGGGCTAATGCCATCGCCATCCTGACCGTCGCCTGGATCTTGGGCACTTTCTACTACTTATGGCAGGACAACAAGCCCCGCTCGGCGGCTGCCGGCAGGTCCGCCGGAGGCGGTAGCGGCGGCGCCCGGAGCGGGCAGAGGGCGGCCGGCAGGCTGGAGCTGCGCCGGGAGGAGAGGACCATCCCCCTCATCGTGAGTGAGCGGCGGCCGCCAGCATCCCGTCCTGCCGCGGCGGGGAGGATGCTCGGGGAGGGAGCCGCCGGCGGAGGGCTGCGCTTTGCCTTCGGGTTGCTTTCTGTTTATTTTAGCATTCGTGCTTGTCACCATGGCAGCCGCTACAATCGGGGAGCAGGGTGGGCACTCTCGGGGGAATAGAGTAATGCCGTGGATAAAGTGTTTGCGAGTTGTCTCCGCCGCTCTCAGCCCGGGCTCTGCTCGTCCGGCTGAGAGCGGCTGCCCTTGGCCGGGGAAAAAGGCGGGTGAAACAGCTGGAAGGTTTTAAGTTCGCGTTCAGAAGGTGCTCACATGCAGATATGTACGCACACACGCATGTATGTGATCACAGTGCTTTCCCGTCAGGAGCGGCTGAGAGCCATGACCTCTCACAAGCCCTTCCTCCGGCCAGCCGGGCTCCGAGCGCCGGGCCGGGGGGATGCGAGTGGCTACAGCTGGTACCAGCCTCTGCCTCGGGCCCTCCGCTTGGCTGCCAGAGGGGGGACCTGGGCGCCACTCGGACTTCAGTCTCTTTCAAACCAGAGGCAGCAGTGTGAGGCGGGCTCAGGCTAGGGTTTGGGCAGGGAGATGGCGGGAGCCCCCAGGGCTCCATTCCTAACCCGAGGAGTGATAGCAGTGCCCTGATGTGCTACTTCAGTTTTGTTGAAAGCACCACACTCTGCCCTCCTTGGGTATCTGTGGGCTCAGTAGAGGGATAAAATTGAGCTCCTGACTTGAGGATGATGACGACTTTTCTGCTCTGTCCGTGGGGGTGATTTGTCCTCCCTTCAGCCTGTATAACAGCATCAATAAAGCTTTCCCAACTCTAGGCAATCGCTTCATAAAAAATAAATCAGCCCCTGAAGCAAGAAGTGGCCCAGCAATACCATTCCCAGGAGTGATCCAGCTGAAAGCTGTTCGGGAGCTGCACTGTGTGTCACTCTTTGGCTGTGAATCCATTTGTCAGCTGGTTACGCACACATGGAAGCGAACAAAAGCAGCAGCCCGGTCAGAGTCGAGCAGGGGCCAGGCGCCAGGGCTGCCCGCCTCCCTCCTTGGCTGGCACTGGGATTTTTTGTCCTGTGTCTCGCTTTCTTTCACCTGTAAGGCGGGGATGGGAAGTGTTTATAGGTGTTTGGGAAGTCCTGTGAATGTTTGGAAAATGCTGTCAGAGCAGTCCCAGCCCTCAGGCAGCAGGGTGGAAACTCTTCAGCTGAGCCCCTTGGCCATTGCTTGCAGCTGCTGAAACTCAAAAGTCAAGGCTGAGGCTCTCGGACAGAGCACTTCTGTTATTTGCTGCCCACTAGGGTTGGGGGCTGCCGGCAGTTCAGGCTGCTTTGAACGCTCTATGGAGCAGGGCTGTGGAAATGAGCACGGCGAGGAGCTCTGTGCAAGTGCTGCTGTTGCTGAAGCCCTTCGGGTGCACTGGGAAATGCTCTTAGGCTGGCCAGGGCTGAGTTGAGGATTTGGAGCACTCCTGCTTTTTTGATTCCACCTTAGTGGCAGAGGAAGCTGCCCCTGAGCCTCTGATTTCTTGTGTGAGCTTGAACATGCTGGTGTAGCAGTTTTATTTCTCTGTTCCCCCGCTTATCCCTTCTGGTTTTTTATGGCATTTACTTTACTCCCTCTCAGAGGGCTTGTGAGGTTACATGAATCCATATTGTCTGCCAAGCACCTTAAAATCCTCATGAGGAGGATGCTGTGGCAGTGCCACACGTGATTATGTTGCTGCTGTTTGGGGGGGCAGTATGTGCTCATGGCTAACCACAAAGCCTCTCCTTACAAGATACACTGCCGCACAACAGCCACTCTAAATCTGATCCTACTCTCAAAACTGTGTAAATCATTCCAGTGCTATCCATGCCTAAAATCCCTTAGCAAGGAAAAATAATCATCCTTTGCATCTCAAGTCCCTCTGTAACTGGGGTCCTAGGATGTGCCAGCCCTCCCACCAGGGCTTTCAGTAGCAGCTGAGATGAAGGAGGACCCTCTTCTTATGCACCTGGTTAGTGGGGCATGGTGGAAATTTCACATCCTGACATGCCATGATGTATTTGGTAGAGTAGGAAACAGGAAGGGTTTGTGGTGTTTGGGTTTTCCCTCATGCATGCAGGTTTCCCAAGGGTTTGGTGGGTTGCCATGAGAGGCAAGGTGGTAAAATGCAGTGTGTGTACTCATGTAACTATGCAGTGCTAAGCCTGACAGGCTGAGCAGTGATGAGGCTTGTACAATGAGCTGTCCCAGCCTTGGCCTCTGCCTGCGCTGCTGGGGCAGGAGCAGGGAGGTGACTGCGTGTGGGCACAGGGCAGGAAGGCTGATGGAGGTCTGGGGACAGCACTGTCCCTCGGAGTGTGGCATCTAGCAGGGTCTGAGCAGTGAGTCTCGTGGTCTGAGCTGTGTGAGCCTGAGGGCCGGTCAGGCCAGGGCAGTAGCTGTGCAGACTGTCCTCAGCATGTGGCCACCTTTGTTCCCCAGCACAGCGCACTACCCTCTCCCAGCCAGCACAGGAAGTGTGCCAGTTCTATTGCCCCACTGGGGAAATAACAAATCTAGAGAAGCAGCTGTCCTTTGGCAGCACAGAGCCCTCAACCCCGAGTTCATTCCCCTCAAAGTCAGATTATCTGACTTAATGTACGATGGTGGTCATGTATAAGGGGAGGTGTGCTCGTGCTCTGCATGCTTCTCTATCCCTTGGCTTTCTGCAGAGCCAGAGACAAGCTGCCCATTTTGATTCAGCTTCTGGTTTCCTCTGCTCTGCATGAGTGATGATGTTGGAGTCCAGGTTTGGGCTCATCTGCAAATAAGGGTGACTCATGTGACTTATGGGTCTCTGGAAAAAATATTTTTTCAATTTTCTAAAATTGGCTGCTTTTCTGTCTGGGAAAAAGAAAAAAATCTTTCTTTTGGATGAGTGAGTCCAAGAGTTCTGCTCTTGCATCTATGCTATGACATTTCAAATCCTGGGCAAGTGAAAGTGTATTGCATGGGTTTAAAAACTGAAGTGCTTTCTGGGCTTCTGTTTTTCTCCTTTATTCTCTCTTAATGTGAAGAATAAAAATTATCTCAGGTAAACACTGTAGTCAATTGCAAGTCTCAGCTTGAAACTGTTTTCTATTTGTTGACCTCATATTTATTAGCACAACTTTGAACTTAAAATCTGGATGTCTGACTCCTGGAGTCAGCAGGGAAATCTTTGAATATTTAAGCTGGGGCATGGAGCTGTCAGAGATCAGTGTCCCGGAAACAGCTTGTGCATTAATAGTGATCCTACAGATATCTGTTTTATAGATAGAAATCTTGACATGTGGCCTTTCTGCAATAAGGTCTTCACAAGCAGGCTCTACAGATGCTTGAAATGAAAATTCAGATATTGGGAAATGGCAGGGCTCACTTGGTGACATGACTAGCTCCTGCATGCTTCTCCTTCCACTTACCACGGAGGGTAGAAACACAAGTGAGTACCACACTCCTAGAAATGCATTTTTTTCTCCAGAGCACAGCATAGTTTCATATAGATTAGAAGGAGCCCTAAGACCTTTGACAGTTAGCTTGTGTGTTTTTGGAAGATGAGCTTCCTCCCTGAACTCTTTTCTGTCTTTTCTAGGCAAAAGGTTGTTTCCTGTCTCCAGGAAATTTCCAAAGGCCAGAAGCTGTGTTATGTCTCTTTAGAAGGGCTTTGGCATCATTCCTGCACCATGTGCAGGTGGTTAATTGTGCACCACGTGCTGCCTATCTGCTTTAGGATGGCAGTGATGAGCAGAGCCCAGGGCTCTGTTCCTCCCTGTCTTAAGACTGCAGCATGGCAGGCTCGCCCAGCGCACTCGTGTCCCCGTGAAGAGAGCGAGGCCATTGCTGCAGCGTGGGCAAAGCTTGTTAGCGGGAGGGATGGTTGGTAGGCAGCTTTGAAAGAGAAATTTTTCTGTTGGCTGACTGTGAGCTGAGGGTGGGAGTATTTTCTCCTTTTCCCTAGTCAAATGCAGGATGTGAGGTTGCCCACAGGGTTCTCCAGCTTGCTGACTTCTCTGGGGTGGCAGGGAAGCAGCAACATGCCTGGAAGGTGGAGATAAAGGTGTCATTATTTAAATGCTCTGAATTGTGTTTAGGCTGATGCTCTGTTGCTCTTTGGAGCAGGTATGATGCCTCTTATCTTTGTAAATTGCTCTTTGGATTTTGGTGTGCTGTCTCTTGTCTTCATCCTGCCAGCTTCTGTGAGCTGTGTAGTTGCTCTGTGAGCCCTCTGGAGCCAGTTTGGCAGTGGACAGGCCCTGTATTGTAATGCTGGCTCAGGTGACCTGAGCTCAGCCCTCCTGCCTGCTCCCTACCCTCTGTGCTCAGCCTTGTAAAATGAGCACTGGGGAGATGAGATCAAGGCACCCTTTTTCCTTGTAGCTAAGGGTTTCTAAATGCACTGCAAACATCACTGAACTGTGTGCCACAAGCCTGTGGTGAGACAGCAAGCAGTAGATCCCACTGGGATGCTTGGCTCAGAACAGGTGGTGTGTGTAGGCAAAGAACAAGTTGGCGAGGAAAGATGTCAATTGTTTAATTCCCACATCTTGTTTAGCCAGAAAACAGGCAGTGGCTGGGCTTTACCTGCTTCTCTGAATTGCCAAACTGGCACATTTAGCCATGCTTGTATTTGCCATCAAGTAAGACCACCTTGATATATGCTCTTCAGACCCTGGAACACCTAGCTAACAGCACGCTCTGCTGCTTTTGTTTTGTGTTGCCTGGGTATCTGAACCCACAGAGCAGGTGCTGGCTGATGTTCACCACTCGTTCATCCATGATTTTATTCTCATCTCTTCATCACATTTCCTCTGTGTGCAGCTTTCAGAGGATGCTGTTTTCCTCACAACAGGGATAAGCTGCAACTTTAATGGTTTGCTAAATGATACCATTTTTCAGGGACCTGTATCTCATGAGGCTCCTGCATGTGTGCCTCCCTGGAGGCAGGTCTTGTAGCCTCAGGCATGTAA